CCCATCTCCAGGGTGCAGGACACGGTCCACAGTGTGACGTCACAGGGGGGGCGTAGGAAGAGCAGTCCCAGGTTCTTTAGGGAGGCCTGTTTTGCTATAAGTGCTTCTGAGAACAAAGAGGCTTCATTGTAAGTGAGTGAGTTCCCTGACATCAGAGGCAAGCAAGCAAAAGCAGGAGGCCAGTTCATCCAGAACACTAGAGAGAATGCTCCTGTACTCCTGCTGCGGGGTGTTTTTGCTTGTCTTTAGCCCTGAAATTGAATCTTTTCTCAACCCAATGTCGTTTTCTAAAGTTTAATAAAGAGAAAAAGTACCCACAGCATGGAAGGCACTGGCCCTGGGCTCTACTTCACCTCCGGCTCTGTCAGGAGACGCAGCTTTTGCTTTGCTTGCCTGTCAATAAAACCTTGCATTCGAGGCCAGCTTGGTCTACAAGAGCTAGTTCCAGGACAGGCTCCAAAGCTACAGAGAAACCCTGTCTCAAAAAACAAAACCAAACAAACAAACAAACAAAAAAAAAAACCCAAAATACCATAAACCATAAAACCTTGCTTAGTCCCAGGAGTCTGGAGTCAGCCTCACCACAGCTCTTGTTGCCAGCTCCTTCATGCAGCAATATGAATGGTGGTAATGGTAGCCCCTGTGCCCAGGCTGCCCCATCTGCCACACTGGGCATGCCAAAGCTGTGTCTTCACAGTTGAGACTGAGAATCCAAAGTTGTAAGACTCAGCACCATCAAGTCCTCCTTTTCCCACAGTGGCCTGCATTTTCCAGTCCTCCCGGGTGACAGGAAGAGCACAGTAGACAGGAATGTTTGCAGGCCAAGAGGGTGTCCACTCCCCTAGATAGCAGCAAGCTCATCAGTGCCCAGCCACTACTCGAGACGGACCTCCAGGGGTCAAGACTGAGATGGCACCCCGACCATGGGGAAGCCCAGCTAGTGTGGCTTCAGGAATTCATTTGGAGGAGGGACAAGCATTCTCTGGACCAGTGCCGACCATCCAGTTTCCTTGCTTGAAGCCCTAGTGTTCTGGAGATTACCAAGTTAGAATGCAAATACCAACCCCAAAGCAGCAGATGCCAGCCCCAAAGCAGCAGAAATGATGGCCCCTGAGCTGGGTTTCTGCAAACCAGAGTGCAAGGACACAAGGTGGGGACCTGAGATAGCTCAGCCAGTAAAACGCCCAACTTACAAGTAAGAGGTCTTAAGTTTGATCCTCAGCACCCACATTAAAAAAAAAAAAAAAAAAAAAAAACAGGTGTATCCCTATTACCGCAGCTCTGAAAAGACAGAGACGAGAAAGCTCCTGGGGGTTGCTGACCAGGTTTAGCCAAATCAGTGAGCTTCAAATTCAGTGGGGGACCCTGACTTAAAAAGTAAGAAAGAAGCCGGGTGATGGTGGCGCACGCTTTTAATCCCAGCACTCGGGAGGCAGAGGCAGGCGGATCTCTGTGAGTTCGAGACCAGCCTGGTCTACAGAGCTAGTGCCAGCACAGGCTCCAAAGCCACAGAGAAACCCTGTCTCGAAATCCCCCCCCCAAAAAAAAGTAAGAAGGAAAGTAATTAGGAAGACAGAAAACATTGACTTCTGGCCTACACACACACACACACACACACACACACACACACACACACACGCATGCACGCACACACAAAACAATGTGAATCTCCTTGATACCAGGAAGAAAGAGTGGGGCTGGAAGAGTGGAGGGGTAGCTCAGAGATGTGAGATCTGCCTGGCTATGTGTTCAGCACTCCGCAGAGGGGGTGGAATACGTCCTGGAGGTTAGGAGCATTGTGCACGTTTTACAAATAAGGAAAGTAAGACTCAGAGAGTCTGCCCAAGGTCGACTGAACACGGTGGCTCAGGCCTGTAATCTCAACACCTGGCAGGCCGAAGCAAGAAAGTCGCCATGAGTCTAATGCCAGCCTGGGCAACGTGGTGTTCTAGCTCAGTCTGGGGTGAGTGCTAAGCGTAGAGGAAAAGCTCAGGCAGGCAGAGGGGGACCCACGGGGACTCACATCAAACACCCACCTTCCTGGTCATCCCACAGGGTTTGCCCTCTGTTGGCTAAGTGGGGACTACTAGGGAATCACCTGGGGGCAACAGGGCGGGTGTCCCTGCTGTCCAGGAATGGCACCCTGATAAGAAGAAGCATGTCTTCTTTGTCTGTATAACACCACCTCCATAAAAACTCGTCCTTAAGAGGGTCTTACTAAATGAAAGAATGAAAGGGGGGAGGGGGGACGGGCTGATCTATTGCAATGACTAGTGATCCCTCAGGGGAGCAAAACAGAGCTGAGAAGAACCTTCCAGGAGGATTGCCTGGATGCTGCGCACACCCCTGCCCCACCCCCACGTTGAGCAGCACAAAGAAAGCCCAGTCCAGGTCAGAACAACATTTCCTGACCTGTCCTCACTGTCAAGGAAGAATTCAGATTTTTCAGGGTTCTAAATGCCCGTGTGTGTTTTCTCTGCCAGTCTCTCCACAAGATGCTTGGCTGGAGTTGGAAAACAATCCCGTTATAGGATAGCAGTCTAAACTGACCACTTGCTTGCCAGGGCACAAGCGGGTCCCCTCGTTTACTGCCCTCAAGAGCCAGTAAAGAGGGGACTAATACCCCTCCATCTCCAGAAAGGTAAACTGAGGCTAAGCAAATGACACGCGTGACAAACAGCTGGGTCTTGGCTCCCACGCCCACCCGTGTCTTCTCGGGAGCCTCTTGCCCAGGGGTTGTAGGACGATTCCTGAGAATATGTAATCTCTAGTGCTTGGTGATTTCCCAGCAAGACTTCGGGGGAGTGGACTGTGGGCCAGGGGAGGTTGATGGCACGCAAGCCAAGCCGAGCTGGCTGGGGAGGGCTCCTGTCCTGCCTATGGGGAGCTTCCCCCACCCCGACCTGCAGCCTTGACTCAGATCAGGAGGAAGTTGAGGGCTTGTAGAAAAATGTCACCCTTTATCAGGGACAAACCGGGTCTGCCTGCTGTAGGCTGCCGCTGTCACGAAGTCCAGGGACAGCTGCTGGTCTGCTACCTGGGGAAGCCCACTGAGCTAGCACAGGTGTGGACAGAACCCAGCCCTTCAAGGAAGCAAGATCAGGTCAGAGGCACTGGGCCTCAGTTTCTCTAAACGGCCCAGAGACTGTTACCTGTAGACGGTCCAGTGCAGCTGATTGAGCTTGGAGGTGTCATAGCTTCTCCAGGACCCAGCCACCTGCAAGCTCTGGGCAAAGCCACTTCCCCTCTTTGGGCCTGAACTTCCTTGGGTGGGGGGGGGTGGAGGTGGGGGTGCAGGGGTGGGGCCAGAGACTTCCAAGCAGCTTCCAAGTTAACCTGTTTGGCTTAGGGGCTCTTCCTCTGGGGCTTAGAACAGGGGTTCGGCAAGGTCCACACCCCTCTGGGCAGAACTAGAATGCTGTGGCAAGCAGAGCGAATTTCCACAAAGTAGGTCCACTCTCTTCTGTCCCATTAGATGTACACTCACCCAGCTTTCAAAAGCCAAGCGGGGGCATGGATGTGAGGGTGGAGGAGGAGGAGGTAGACCTAGGATGTTTTCTGAGAAGGAAGCTTCTCACAGCTGACATTCCCACAAGAGCATCACTCGGGAGCAGAGAGCAGTTGAGGAGGGTCCCCAGGACATCCGGCACTTTTGGTTTAGGACAGGGAAACGCTGAGCGGAGGAGAGTGGTAGTGGACGGCTTTCTATTTAGACCATAAATTTGATCAAGTCCTCATGATCCAGCCTGGGCTTACGTCAGACCCACACAGGTGTCTGCAAGGAGAGTCAGCAGATAATTCCCTGGGGCCCTTCTTCAAAGGAAAGCTGAGCCAGCCTCCGCAGGATGCTCAGCAGGGAGCTCTCACACGTTCCAGGCAATTAGGAGAGTCTGGCTGATGTGCAGCCTGGCAAGGCAGCTCTGGTGCCAGGAGGAGCCGGGGGCCCCTTGGAGTGTCAAGGCAAGGCTATTTTTACAGATCATGCAGGCTGTGACTTTCATGTGTCTACAGGAATAGAAACTCCCCAAGGTGGGTCCGGGTGATTCATACCAGTACACGGGTGCTCCCTGCATAATATCAGCTTCTGTGGGAAGCAGGGGTCCTCCGGAGCTCTGGCTCCCATTGTTCAGTGAAATCGTTGACAGATTCCAGCCCTTGCTGTCACTAAATCGATCACCCAATGGTAACACCAAGTGAGCTCTCTGTGCCGGAACATGAGGACTATACAACAGTAGGAGCCAAGACAAGACCCTGAGCAGACCTTCTTTAAGTGAGGCACTTTCAATGTCCCCAGCCACACCCTCGCCAGAGCCTGGCTACAGGGCAAGGCAGAGCATCTAGACCAGGGCAGCAAGAACAGGGAGCCGGGAGCTTGACAGGCAGGAAACACGTAGATGTCTAATCCCCACCGCGTTGCCAGAGTCTGGGTCTGGAGACCCAGCAAGGGGTTCACACAGCTCTGCTCTTCCTCAAAGCAGGGCTCGCCCACCTCCTGCTTTTGCTACTTTCTTTATGTGTGTGTTGGTGATGGGGGCCAAGATCTCACGTACCCCAGGACTGGACTCAGACTCTCCTTGCCACACAGCTGGGATTATGGGTGTGTACCAACCTCTTTCATACATTCTTTTTAAAAAGGAATATATCTTGCTGTTGCTTGCTATGTAAATGATTGCATGCACAGCCAGGAGCCAAATAGAGACATGAAGACATTTGTAAAGTTATATGAACTATCACCATCCCCCCTCCCCTCAGGGCTCTATAAAGCCTGGAAAGATGGAATGTCTCAGTAGCAACCAGGCAGAAACCTGTTCAGAACTCTCTCTCCAGCTCCCCCCATCTCTGTAAGACCTCGAAAAGCATAAATAAAGAATGTTCTCAGGGGTTTCCTAAACCTGTTATCCCTACTTTGATCCACCCTACCCTCTCGTCCCTAGGAGCAAGCTAAAGGCTTTGACACCTGGAGTGGGCTGGCTCCAAAGGGTTGATTCTGCCTCACATACCTCCAGCTTCGTCAAGTGCATCAGACATCGAGAGAGCTCCAGGAAGCAGCTCCTTCTAGGGCGGAGAGCAGGCCCTTTTGACTGCTTGCCAGTAAGCTATCTACTCCACGTACCACATCCTCTCCTGAAGCTGGTCCATTCACCCCGTCAGTCATCAGAGGCCCAGCACCCACTCTGAGAGACAGACTTGCCCATGCAGAGGCTTCAGTTGGGCCAGGAGGGGAGACAGGGAGCAGGACTAGGCCATGTTGGGGTGAGGCCAGAAGCCCAGAGAACAGCTCAAGTGGTCAGCTTACACACTGGGGTTGTTCGGCATTCAGAAAGGCCAGGGGTAGGGGTGCCTCTGAGGGCAGGGGTGGGGGCTGTCTCTGCGGACTGGGGTGGAGGTGTCTCTGTGGACTGGGGTGGGCAGTCTCTGAGGACAGGTGTGGAGGTGTCTCTGTAGCTGAGATCCAAGGATGACTGGGAGTGAGAAGATAGGCTAGAAGCCAGTCAGTCATCCAGAAGTAAGAGCTGCTCAAATGTCTCCTTGAACAAACACACAGAGCAGGAACATCATATTGGAAGCTGAACAATAAAAAGGAAACCTTGGATGAAGAACCTCCGGCTCTTCTCTGACTTTCTGCTCGGTGCATAGGGCAGCTCAGAGACTGGTACAAGTCCTGCCCTTTAGGGTCCAGGAGGAAGATGAGAGTAAAGGAAATGGCCACACTGAGAAGGAATTGGGACAGGAAGTAGGAATGGGGTGTCTGAGAGAAGGTCACAGGGTCAGCAGAGGCAGCTGATTCCTAAGCGAGCCCAGCCAGCCAAGAGTGGCCACGCCCCCTTGAAGAGCCTCAGCTTTGTGACTTCTCCCAGCCGATGACTTCCTCATCTTCGAGCTGGGGTCACAAGTTCAATCAACAAGCACTTGCTGACTCCCTCTCGCGTAGCCTGTACACACACAGCCTGTCCAAGAGAGACAGTAATACAGGCTCAAAACCAGCGACGTGTGCACGGAGTGAGGGGGCAAAGAGCATCCAGGAACTCGACGCAACACCCAGACTCTGGGTCCCCATGGAAGGGTGTGAGGAGAGGAAAAGGAGTGGGCGCTGATAATAGTACCATCCCGATGAAAGCCAGCTGCAGGACCTCAACCCTAAAAGGAAGCCTCGACAGAAAGCAGAAGGCGGGATAAACTGAGGAAGGAGAAGCAAGGAGAGGGAAGATGCGTTGAGAACCCTTTGCATCCACACAGTTGCTGTTTGTCTCACCTGCTCCAAAGCCCACGTTTGGTCACACTTCTGTCCCTAAGCCCAGATGATTCCCATAAGTGGCCAGACAGTTGACAAATGGCAAATGAGTCCCCAGCTTTGGAGTCTTGGCCGACTCCCTGAGGGAAGTCCCCTTTCCTGTCCTCCACATGGACCTCATTAGCCACCAGCCGAGGTTGAAGATGTCCAGCCTCCTTGAGAGTGCTCACGTGTGCAGCTTACAGGGAGCAAGGTGTCATACGTCATGTCAAGGCAGGCAGCCACTTAGAATGCCCCTCCCCCTCCTCTTCCTTCCTGGAAAGTTGACTGTGAGCGCAGAGGAGGAAGTTCTAGGTGCTCTAGTTCACAGCACTGGGTGACCCGTCTTGCTCTTACCTTCGTGGTGGTGGCCAGCTTTCTCAGAGGCCTAGCGCTGCTCCTGACTTGCATATGCTGACAAAAGTATTCATCAGATCTGCTGGTTGTCCTGGTGCTCAGAGTCCATGATATCTAGAAGGGCCTTTCACTATGAAGGTTCTGGAAAACATAGACTCTAAGACTGTCCCACTGCTGAATTCAGGGTAGGAGAGAGTCCTGTGTTTTGAGCATTATCAAGGTCTCCATGGTGGGAGGGAAGCCTACCAGGCCCTTAGGTACCTCCACTCCACCGGCTGCATGAAGCCTTCAAGCACCGTACCGATACAGTGCTCCTGCATAACACCCCTGGATTCATCTCTTTCAGCTTCTCCTGGAGCCGAGGGAGGCCTGACTTGTTGTGGAAGAGTCGACGGTTGAACCAGTGACTCTGCCTCTATATAAATCTAGCACATTTTCTCATCTCTGATGCCACCTCTGATCTCCTTGACATTGCCCAAAGTTACAGCTACCAAGTCACTTTTTAAAGATTATTTATTTTATTATATGTGTATGGGTATTTTGCCTGCACACACAGGTATGTGCACCGCATGAATGCCTGGTGCAAATGATCCCCTGGAACTGGAATTACAGACAGCTGTGAGCGGCCATGTGGTTGCGGGGAATTGAACTCTGGGCCTCTAGAGGAGCAGCCAGTGCTCTTAGCACCGAGTCATCTCTCCAGCCCCCACTTTTTTAAAGGAAGTTTATTTGCATCTTGCCCTGGCTGTCCTGTAACTGGCTATGTAGACCAGGCTGCCCTCAATCTCACAGAGACCTACCTGCCTCTGCCTCCTGAGTGCTGGGATTAAAGGTGTGCGTCTCTATGCCCAGCTAGCTAACTCATTCTTGTTTATTTTTTTATGAACATGGAGGAGGGAGCAGGTAGTGAGCCTCTTCAAAATAATTTCTCTTTGTGCTTCTGTTGCCTAAAGTGGACCAAGTCCTCTCCCCTGCATGTCCATCAGAGCCATGTCTCTTCATGCTTCAGCTGTTAAATTCCCACCCTGGGTTACTGTGAGCATTCTCTTCTCTCTCCATCCCTTCCCACCCCTCCTCTCCATAGCTACATATTACTTTGGTTTTGCTGCACAGAAAGCACTAATTGTGTTAGAGTAACTTGTACTTTTGCCCTCATAAAGGTCCCCCCTTGGGCTCTTTACTAACAAGAACAGCTTCCATCTTAGCTCTACTGTGATCAAACACTGAGAAAAGTATCTTCGGTGAAAAATGGTTGACTTGGGCTCACAGTTTTGGGGGGTTCAGTCCATAATCACTTGTCTCCATGTTTCCAGACCATGAGGCAGAACATCACGGCAGTGGGACTGTCTGGCATGGGCTTTTCATCTCACCATGAACAGGAAGCAGAGAGAGGAAGGGACCTAGGTCCCCATACACAGGGGCTACTTCCTCTGCCTAAGCTCTGCCTTTCAAAATAGTGCCGCCATCTGGGGACCAAGTGTGCCCCACAAAACTCTAGTAAATCCTTCACAGATCTAGGGCTCACTGTACTCATTTCCTTTCTGGATATTTTTGATATAATCGTGACTTTTGTTTTTTTTAATCCTGGGGTGGAGGGTAGAAATCAATCCCAAGAGCCTGACAGTCAGGGTTGCAGGGGTTGTTCTTTGCCACTGCCCGGGGAGCAGTGTGCCAGCGCTTGCTCCCTGTTCCAGATGTAGCCACCTCTTCTCTCTCTGATGCTGTCACCTTCCCAGTCACACCTCATTCCAACACTTCATTTAACCTCACCTGCACCCATTGTCACCTTGACTCCTCAAGGACATGCCATTGAGGGTGACAGGTCCCTCACCATTTTACATGTCCTGGGGATCAGCCAATGGGATATGCTTTTTTTAAAAAGGCAGGTAATTCTCCACACCATCTAGGGGATGAACACTACCATGGCCTCATTTTCAGAGAAGGAAACTGAGGTAGGTAGCTCGAGTAACAGGCCTAGATGCGTGTCATGCGTGCGATGCAGAGCTGAGGTTTGGACCTTCTCGGGTAACGGCACCTCAGAATCTAGAAATCTATCCGTCAGGCTTAGCGCTAAGGACACCCTGTACTGAATCCTTCCCAAGCCCCAGGAGGCAGAGCTGATGAGCTTCCCTACTCTGTAGATGTGGCAATGCACACCCTGGGGTTCAACTACTTGCCTATGATATACACTTAAGAAGCCAAGCACTCTGTTGACTGGTAAGCCAAAGGTGTGTGTGTGTGTGTGTGTGTGTGTGTGTGTGTGTGTGTGTATATATGTGTGTGTGTGCACTAGTCACAGTCTGGACAGCAACAAAAGTGTGTGTGTGTGTGCACGCGTGCATGTGTGTGCACTAGACACAGTGTGGCCCGCAACAAAGGGGTGTGCATGTGTGTGTGTGTGCGTGCATGTGTGTGTGCGTGTGCACTAGTCACAGTGTGGACATACAATCCACCCAAATGTCCAGCAACAGAGGAGTAGATAAGAAAATATGATACATAATGCAATGGAGAACTACTGAGCCTTGACAAAGGCCAGAATCCTGCCAAGTATGGGGTACAAGCCTGTAATCCTAGCACTTTGGAGGTAGAGGGAAAAAGATTGAGTTCAAGATTATGCTTGGCTCCTAACAAATATGAGACTAGCCTGGGCTACATGAGACCCTGACAGAAAGAAGGGATCATGAGGAGGGGAGAAGCAAGAAGAGAGGAGAGGAGAAAGAGAGGAGACTGGAGAGATGGTTTAGTCAATAAAGTGCTAGCCATACAAACAGGAAGGCCGGAGTTAGATGCCCCAGAAGTCATACCAGGCACTGGGGATGGAGAGAGAGAAGGATGCCTGGGGTTTGTGGTGGGCCAGTCTAGTCCCAAATCAGTGAGCTCCAGCTTCAGCGAGAGACCCTGTCTCCAAAACTAAGGTGGAGAGTGACTAAGGATGACACCTGAGTGTGCTCTGACCTTCGTATGGACGTACACACAGGAGCATATGAACACAAACATGTAGACACACTGGCACAGCAAGGAGGGAGGGAGAGAACCTTGGGGCTTACATCACCGTGAGTGGAATTGGAGAACATTCTGGTAGGTAAAAAACAACAACAAATGGGCATGGAGACAAATGTCACATGATCATACTCACAGGTGGAATCTGAACGGGCTAAGTCCTAGGAGCAGAGAAAAGGGCGTTACCAGAGGCTGGGGAGAATGGGGAGCAGGGATGGGAGGGGTTGGTTGATGAGTAGAGATTATGCCAGGGTCTGTGGTGGTTTGAATAAGAACCCCATAAGGTCATAAATTTGAATGCTTAGTCACCAGGGACTGACACTGTAAGGAGGTGTGGCCTTGTTGTTGTGGATGTGGCTTTGTTGGAATAGGTGTGGCCTTGTTGGAGGAAGTGTGTCACTGGGGGGAGGATTTTAGGGTCTCTCAGGCCAGACCCAGAGTCT